CCCCCCCCCCCATTCAGCCACAGTCAGCCTCAGGTCGCCAGTTTAACTTTTCACCTGCATGGTGATTTCTCTTCTCTCTCCCCGCCAGGACGGTCGATCCAAACGTCTCATCAGCAAGCCAGCTCCTCCATCACCAAGCTGGCTTACAGGTGACAGTGAGAAGGGCTGCTATACACTTCCTGACCATTTGCTGACCCCTGGCAGCCTCTGTGTTCACCCTTCACTGAGGGTGTACTCACACTAGCTGATCTGTCCCCAAAGTCCAATTTGTTTGACTAGTGTAATTGCTAACTGTGCCCAGGTACAGAACACAGACACAGGTCCCTTATACGTGCAGGAGGAATAAATTAAAATCGCTGTGTTGCATATTAGATAAATCTATGTGTGTCACTCCAAGTAAGGTACAAAATAAGGACATTAATCATGAATTTTATTGTGCTGTGTGATGATGCTTTCCTTCATATTTTCATCAACACAAAAAAGTTGCATGATGATGACAAAAGTGTGTTCAGGCCAGGATCATTAAGTGTAATGTGAGTGGAGACCAACAGGGGAATGGGGAGGGGGGCAATCATGCCCAGGCACGGTACAGGGCAACCGGGCCAAGTGTGAGAACGCCTGAGTCCATGCTGACCCCTTACTGACCCAGTGCTAACCCCTGGTGGGGCTCTGTCGAACCCCGGACTCTCTGTCGAACCCCGGACTCTCCTCAGCCCTCTCCAGACCCGTGGAGGCCTGGCAGAACTTGAGCGCAAACAAGCAGAGAAACGCAAGGAGATGATGAAGCCGAAGACTTTCTCAGCACCCTCACCCCGAGCTCTGGCCCAGAAGCTAGAGAGCGAGAGCACAGGGTAAGTCAGGGCTGGAGAGACATCTCAAAATATTTATGTTTACCTCCTAGTAATGCACTGGCAATGTTTACACCAATTCCAGCCAACAAAGCACTTTGAGTTCAAATATGAGATAAAAAGATGGAGAGTGAGAAGAGGGGAGATTGACAAATGTTGGGAGGAGTGTGGATAGATGGAATATGGATTTGAGGGCATTTTTACTGCGATGTGCGGCTTATATGACACCATCCAGTTTCTGTCCCCTTGTCACCCCCTGTGTTTCGGGCTTGTTTGTGTCCCTGTAGTCATGTGCTTGTCTTTCTCTTGACCATTCCAGAGCTACTGGTCCAGCTGTTGTCCGGATCCAAAGACCTGGCCGCTCCCCTGGTTCTGGGACCAACAACAAAAATGTTAAGCAGATGCTGTTGGACTGGTGTCGGGCAAAGACCCAAATGTATGAGGTGAGTGTGAGCCGGGAGGAGACTGGAGTGTTACCAACTGAAATATGAGAGTTCAGTTATGTTGTGTGTGGTGGTGTGTGTGGTGATTGCGTGTGGTGGTGTGTGTGGTGATTATGTGTGGTGATTGTGTGTGGTGGTGTATGTGGTGATTGCGTGTGGTGGTGTATGTGGTGATTGCGTGTGGTGGTGTGTGTGGTGATTGCGTGTGGTGGTGTGTGTGGTGATTGCGTGTGGTGGTGTGTGTGGTGATTGCGTGTGGTG